GTTTAATATTCAACAAGTTGAACAGATAATCCACCCTAACCCCGCTACTTGGTATCGGTATCGGTGAGTACCTAAAATGAAGTACTCGTACTTGTACTCATTCTTGAAAAAACTGGTATCGGGACACCCCTACTGAATAATGTTTTTGAAATAATAGCATCTGAATTCAGATTAGAGAGTGAATATTATTAAGTGCTACTAGCTGCAACATCAGAGCACAAACCCAAATAATCTGTTCGTTGTTTTATATGGTGATTCAGTCGTGTTCTCCATCACACCATCCAGCCAATAAACTTCCATGAAAGTGACAAACCAGAAGAAACCATAACATGTTATAACGAGATGGTTATCTTGATATAACAAGATAGTTTTCTTGTTTTTACAAGATAGCTTTCTCGTTGTAACGAGATCCAGTTTCAAAATAAGTTCATGTCATGTGGCAGCTCTWGGCTTCCGTATAAAAGCTTTCAAACTGAGGTTCAACACAATGTTTATGAATCTCATATGATAATAATAATGTTAAAGAGTTCAGAAACATTAGATTTTTACCTGTAAAAAGTTGTTAGAAAACAAATACGAAAGAACACATTAATCATTATCACTAAATGTTTCAATTCTTTAAATTGAAAAGTTAATTTTCTGTTCACAATTAAATGTTTGCAATTAAATACTACTAACAAAAAAATGCACATTTTCTCCAGGATCATCACCAGGTTAGTAAAATGACTCAGAGCATCAGAGCATACTATCTCTGTGGTCATGTAGACAAATGGCTAAAATGAAAAAAACAAAAAAACTTTGGATTTTACTTAAAAACAACAGTGTAAACTCCAACAATACTCCAAATATTTTAAAACATGTATTGCTTTATACATTTCTTCTATCCCCCCACCCATTACAAAATACATTCTAACAAAATGCTGAAATACCCATGGTGTACCACTAGGTGGCGATAACATTCACATTAACAACTTCTTGAAAAGAAGGAAACAAATATACAGTATCTCTAACAGTTTTTAACCATTCAGCACACGATGAAAATGAAGTAGAACATACACACAAACCTACAAATTTCTACAAACCATATTTGTTTGTGTTTCGCAGTGGGCATCTGCAAAACAAGGTTTGACTTAAGGCTTGTTATAGTTAACACAAAGTCTGCAGAAGTCATACTCAATAAATTACACAAGGGTGGACTCAGTGTGTAACCTGGTCATAAAACAATAACTAAAGCATTGAACATCTCCTGCAGCTCTGTTCAGTACACCATGTAAAAATGGGCGGAGTTTACTACACCTGCAGATCTGCCAACATGGAGTCTGTCTAAACTGACTGCCTGAAAACGAGAAGATTCATCTGAGAAGTAGCTGAACTTTAAGGCCTAAAAGGAAAAGACTAAAAGCATCAATCACCCTGAACACACTATTGTGTACCCACTGTGAAGCATGGTGGTAGCAGCATCATGCTGTGGGGTTGCTTCACTTCAGCAGGGACAGGGAGGATGGACTGACTGAATGCAGGACARTCCTGGAGGAAAACCTGTTAGATGCTATAATGAGACTTGTGTTTATCACTTGTTCTTTTCCATAACTTACAGTGTTTTTTTTTCTGAAATCTGTTGACTAAATGTTTTAACACATTTACAGCGGGTAAAATAAGTACTGAACACGTCAACGTTTTTCTCAGTAAATATATTACTAGAGGTGCTAATGACATGAAATTTTCACCAGATGT